CAAAATGTAAATATAGGAATATATCATATTGCATGACTAAAATATTCAGTTTCGAGAACTACGCTCCCATCATGCTTTGTAAACAAAATATGCTTTCGATCTTTAAATGATTTCCATTGCTGAGCCCGCCCTAGTAAGTTTGTTTTTCTGCCTTCTGCGTTTAGAAAATGTGCTAAAACACGTTTTGAAATACTTTAGACCCGTACAAAATGTACAACAAATGGAAATTTATCATATTGTATGACTACAGATCCCGTTATGCCTCGTTTTAACAAAATGGCGTCGCTGCACACGGCCTATATCGATTTTTACACAGAACATATTCTATGAATAACGAATTATGCAAAGACCGATAGAATCTGGAAATTGAACAGGTTTAATGCTTCCTGGCATAAATTAGTCTTAGGCTTTTTATACATAAATATTAATGACTTGAGAATGGCGATAGTCTACACGAAAACGATTCATACGAGCGCTTTTCAGGGATTTCCCCGTTTTTTCACTATTCCAGGTAAAGTTTCTTATTTTTTTTTCGTACGGTCAACTTTTACTCTTCCCGTGAATTGGTCACTTCTRAGCCGCTGTGAGGATGTTACAGTATCGTGGTATATACTAATGTACTTATAAATTCATTCACGAAACGGTGTTTGTATAAACAAAATATTTCATTTCGTGTCCAATTCAGCATGTGAAACTTGGCTGCCAAGTAAAACATTAGAAACAGCGAATATTTTCGTTTCCAAACCGTCTACGGTTGTTTTAATAAGAAATTGTCATTATTAGCTATGTCAAAAAGGATTTCATTACACGTCCATTTCGTTGAACATGTCTGCAAACATTAGAAACACCGAATATTTTCGTTTCCGAATCATCTACGGTGTAAGAGAAAAGAAATTGCCATTATTAACTATGTCAAAAAGGATTTCATTACACGTCCAATTCATTCAACATGACTGCCAAAGACAACATTAGAAGTCTTAGAAACAGCGAATATTTTCATTCCGAGTCATCTACGGTGTTAATAAGAAATTGCCATAGTATTAACTATGTCAAAATATTTCATTACACGGCCAATTTATCCAACATGCCTGCCAAGTAAAACATTAGAAACAGCGAATATTTTCGTTTCCGAGTAGCCCACGTGCCAGCACGTCCAATGGCCATTGTTCACAAAATTATTTTACCATCARAATCATAGTCTCCATGCTACAGCTTGATAAGTGCTGGGATAAATCTTAATGTATCTTAATAAATCTTTTTAAATCATGGTCAGTGTAATACCATATATACCAATTAATCTTAGGGAAATGTCAGAGTGAGGATAATTAGTGCGRAGAGTATGTTTTTTTAGTTTAGGCTGAGTACAAAAGAGGAAAAGGAAGCTCATTTAATGTACATTACTAGCCATCAGTCTTAATTTCTAACATCAATTCCTTTTCAGTCATTTTTAGAATTTCAGATCTTCCTGTTTATAGTCAAATGTGTTGTGATAAAAATATAATTTCAGTTTGCAAAGAAGACGGTCGCCATCTTTTTTATTGTGATAACAACATGCCGAAGAAAAGTGTTAATTAATAATGATTGATTGGTGTTCTTTTCAGTTCCACTACTTTTAAAATTCATCTTTCATTCATTCATTTGTTCTTCCATTTATTCATTTATTTGTCTTGTTATCCACTCATTATTTCATTTATCAAAAGCTCTAAGTAACATCCATACTTTCAAAAGCTCTAAGTAACATACCTACTTTCTTTGCTCCGAGGGTTTAAAAATCTTAACTTTAACAATCTTCACTTGAAATCTGCCAGAAAATGTTCAAAAAAGGCCGAAAACATTGTATTCCGGTCCGTTTTATGATTTTGATATTTTGTTTGCCCGTATCAGGTAAGAGCTAAGGCTATATCTTTAAATTGTTTTATTCAATACTGTAGAAGGCTAACATCAGCCACATATCAAACATTATCAAGCAATTAAACCGAGAACAATTTTAATTAATTAAAATTCTGAAAAGTGATATAATTAACTTTGTTAATTAACTTTTATTAGATTTTCGCTCTAAACTTATTTTAAAACTCTACGTTATCGTTCTATGTACACTTTCAAAAAGCATAACACTTCGTTAAATTATTTATACATCTGCTGTAGGAACAGAAACGTATGCTTTAATCAGTGGTATTAAGAATAAAAGATTTGAAATTCTACCTGCCATTGTTATGGCTTCATTGATCTTTATTGATAGAAAATTGAATTTTAATCGAGTAACACAAAAGAGCTTTACAATAGTATCGCCAACAAAAGAAGATAAACTTAGTCCCCGCTGCAAAGAGTTGAAAAACATTTCCGACTCGGTTTCCGTCAGATACATCTGTTATCCCACGCTCCCTGCGTCATTTCATCAATCGTACATTTGATGTGTTTTTTTAAAGTAAAATAGAAAAATAGTGGGATTTAGATAGTTAAGTAATCCTATTTAAATGTAATCGAGGAGATTTTTTTGACTGACATCAGGTTCCTAATGTTTGCTCAGAGGCTAAAAACCAATTTTAATAACAAAACGACATTTTGCAATCTGTTGAACAAAGGAATTCTAGATAATTGTCCAAAACGTTTTTCCGTATTCTATATATACACACAATCTAGCTTGAATCTTTCCTCACTTTATCTGGAATATCTATTGACAAAAAAATCCTGCCATCTGAACCAAGATATATCTCCCAGAATTCCTTCTGTCCACCGGAAGTGAGCACATAGCCGAATTTTGCCAGCAATTTTTTCGGGGTTTATTTTCAATTCAGTCGCTTGCCCAGTCAACCGTGAAGCACACACGGTTATATGAGGCCTTCTTTGGATGTGCACGTTCAACCTCAATGTCTATTTATGCCCGATAAAGACTTCTTAATGTTGATTTCACACGAACACACTCGTTTCTGAGTTGAAATCGATTTCGTGTGCTAGATCGTTGAACTGGTAAGTTCCGAGTTGTGCAGACTTTAGTTCTGACATATTTATAAATRCACGTAGCCTTCGTGATGTGTTTTGCTATAAGAACGTCGTGGAAGCCATTCATGTGCTGAAATCACTGATCGAACGTTCGATCGCGTTTTTTAAAAGAATACTTGATCAGAAATGTACAATGTTTTATGATGGCCACCGGATGCACATTTGTAAGTTTGTCGTCCATAAAGCCATAGTACAAGTCATAATATAATTATTCCCCTTCCTATCAGTGAGTGTCGGACTAAAATATTGTTTATATTCATTCTAGATCACTTTTAAAAGAGGACGACTTCTTTACTGCCATGGGACGAATRTCTAAATCTTGTGCGTCAAACGCCAAGTGATTTTTCCGGAATCGTGTCGCTGATTACAGCGACCTCGAACTCTAACATGGGAGCTTTTTACTAGATAAACTTCGTCCATCAAGACATGGCTGGGGCTTTATTCCGGTATGGAGTTTTAGTCGTAATCTTGTTGAATCTAAAGCGATTATCTGAAGGAAACGACGGTAAGTCTAAGTTTCTTTTTGAGTTTTATTATCGTAACTCGCTAGAGACCACGGCAAACATAACATCCTCATCATCACCAGTCCATCAATAGAAAATTAAGTGTGTTTTTTAAAAAAATACGCAAAAAGTTGACCTCAAATATATATATTACGCGGCTCACAACTGGATTGACAGTGACCGTCGTTTGTGATTAGTAACACTACACTTCTATGATGGGTCTCTTGCTGAGAATCGGCTTTCTCGTGGGGGACCTCTCTCCGTTTGCATGCCCTCTTTGTTAGGMTTTCGCTACTATATTGAGCCCTTAAGGAAACGCACAACTGTGGGGCTATTTTTTTGGCTGAATCCGCTTGCACTAGCCTGCTGGGTTTAGTATAAAAGCTTAATGAACCAGAATGTCATAGCTTGCGTCGCTCACTCCAATTGCGCGCTTGGCAGCAAAAATCCGAATCCTTTTGAGTACTCAAAGGGCGCGCTCTCTTCTTAGCTAGAAACTCGAGCCTTCAACTTAAAGAACTTGTATCTCTTGTACGGTAAAAACCCTTAAAACGGAAACATACCCTTATTTAGGTGACGGTGTAGTGTGAAAATACTCTAAAGCGATAATGATTTGACGCCTCTCAAACATGCTTTGCAGTATTGGGTATCACCTTTTGAAATATCAGATGATCTTCAAGAAATTTTCTCCGTCGAACATTCGATCGAACATTCGACTATCTTTAGAATAAAAAATCTAGACAAAGATTTKATCAACACAGTGAAGAAATTTTGGTATCCAGATTGTGTTAGTTGAGAAAATAAGCAATGGTTCTTTGATAAGTATGTTTTGGTAAACAATGGAAAATTGGATAATTTTTGAAAACAGTTATTGACTCTAAACTGAATTTGGTTAGTTGACAGTTTTGCAATACACAATTCGTAGTAAGATAATCTCAGTTTATGTATATCTATTCTCAGTTTTATAAGTTCAATTTCTCTGAACTTCTGAAACAAGTTGTGATTCTCTAAGTAACTATATACCCTACAGCCCAGCAGTTATAATATCATAGTCAATATACCTTTTATGGCAAGTGAGTAATAAGTAACAATGTTGTATCAAGTGTGAGTGATAAGTAACAATGTTGTATCAAGCGGGAGTGATAAGTAACAATGTTGTATCAAGTGTAAGTGATAAGTAATAATGTTGTATCCAGTGTGATTGATAAGTAACAATGTTGTATCCAGTGTGATTGATAAGTAATAATGTTGTATCAAGTGTGATTGATAAGTAACAATGTTGTATCAAGTGTGAGTGATAATTAACAATGTTGTGTCCAGTGTGTGATAAGTAACAATATAGTATCAAGCTAATCTGAATGCAAAAGCTGTAAAAAGATATACTTGTGAAACTCCAATGAAAAATGCTTTGTCAGAAAAATATCGGACAGAAATCTTATTGTGAAGGATATTTCCATTTGTTTTTTGATTGCAATGCACATTGTTTGCAATTAGTTTCAATGGTATTATACAGAGTCCTGCTATAGTACAGTATTTGGGATTAGAGATCAGGGTGTTGTTTTGGGATCAAGAAACTAGGATTGGAATCACACATACTGAGATMAAGATCAGGGATGGGATGTAATGATGTAATTCGTGGGATCATTCAATTTGAARGGGGGRACAGGGATCAGATTTGAGATGAGGAACTGAAATTTTGCCCCCAAAATGGAATAATTAATAAAAACTGTAACTGAATGAAAGAATATATCTCTTTTACAGATCTCCCTAAGGTCACCCRTACAMGYAAATATAATTTGCTTGTTTCTGTTGATACCAYTGACTACAAATTGAGATGCACKGTCAGTSGAGAATCCGTTAGTCACATCACTAGTTACAAATGGTTCAAGAATGGTAAAATAGTCGTCACTCAGGGACGATTCAGAGTTAGAGAAAACAAATTTCTAAAAATTCTCAAACTTGAAAGACAAGACAGTGGTGTTTACACATGYATTGTGTCAAACAAGTATGGCAGCACCAATGTCACTTATAGACTCACTGTTAAAGGTAGGTTATATGGGTATCCTGTGGCAACTAATTGAGAGTAGGACTAGTAACGAGGGCACAATTTTTCCATTTTTCAACAATCCATTGTAATTCAAAAGACAAAACAAAACCAGCCATGGTCTTTTGTTGAAGTCTAACCACATGGCATRAACTGAAAACTAAAATTCAACAAAGCTAATGTACAGTAAAAAAACCCGATATATTTCTTTCGCTATTATCCCGATTTCATTGTCATTGTATTGTATAACATTTCTTTTACATATTATTTTTCACTTGTTTTTGCAGACCCCACCCCTCCCCCTTTCAATGGGACAAAAGGCAGTAAGTACTAGTTTGATATAGTTTGATATAATTTATTATATAATTATTAARTATTACTTGATATATCACCCTGTTTCAATACGAAGTCACGTTAAAGCAATTCATTGGCATATAGGGTGAAGGAATAACAAAAAAACGAAAAAAAGAATAGATATACGKAAGAGACCTAAATTGTACAGAGACAGGGATCCCACCATGAGAAATCATACATTAAATTTCGACCACTTTAATATACAAGAAAAAGTTTGAAGGTTAAATTTGGCAAAGAAAGATTACTTATACCAAATACCCTTTGCGTCTGCAAGTGTATTCATCACTCAAAAAATACGATAAAGTCACTAGTAAGACACAGAAGTGTTATCTCCACTCGTGATCATGTGCAATGGCCAGACTCGTACCCAGTTGTTTCTCTTACTTGTTTTACGGGTCGCGGTGCATCAAGGGAAGTCCGAACTTCTTTTGTGCGCGCCAGAGAAAAGRAAGAGTAACGACTGGTTACGAGTCTAAGCAATGGCTCCGTTTTTCTTAAACTTATTATCAGGCTGTCTGAGAGAAAAAAAAGGGAGGTGAAGAAAAACCGGTGAAATGATACATAGTATGCGCTTATCACATTGTACACTGACAATTTCATAATATTWCAGCTCCACCAAAGTTTGTTAATCTTCTTGCGATGAATCGTACCAGCCGTACGTACAGAGAATCTGGTAAAGCTGCCTTGAAATGTGAAGCGACTGGATATCCCCAACCTGTGATAAAGTGGACCAAACCTGATAATCTCCACCTGCCACAKGAACGAAATCCTTACRATTATGTACTAAATCTAAGAACACTAGGKCCACAGCATASTGGCTCTTACACTTGTAATGTATCGAATACCGCTGGGTGGTTGACCTACACTTACAAAATTAATGTAATCGGTAAGTTGTTTTGGTATCTTTGTAGGATTGCATAGACGAAGGGGTTGAGGAACCTCAATGCCCCCCTTTTAATTAGTTCTATAGGTAAACGTCGCACGGGTGTGTGGGTTAAATGAGGGGAATGGGGGAAGAGGGGAGGGCGGAAGAGGGGGAGGGGGTTCCAGCTGGGGTTCCAAATTGTTGAACCATCCGAAAATATGCTATTGATTACCAGAAGTTATCATAAGTCAACAAAGGGGGATTCTTGAACTTCTGGATCCCCCTGCACCCTTAACACGCTCCTGACACCTTAGATCAGGCTGGTCCGTTTGAATTGTCGAAACTACATTTTATTTGCTTGTACTGAAATCTAATCTCGTCAGCACGTGTGAAATTCAACGTTTTTTGACGTTGTTGTTAGGAATTACACGTATTGCTCCGAGGATCAACAGTATAACCAACAACCAAACAGTCACAACTGGAAGAAAAACTTGGTTAATGTGCACTATACTGTACAAAGAATACGACGACACACTTAGGCTCAATTGGTTTTTCCAAAAAAACGGTACCAAAGAAAAGGTAGACTCAAAGTTTTATCGTAATTCAACGTTACCAAATCATTATGAAGATGTCTTGCTACGAGTGGAGTTTATTTTGGATTTCCATCGAGTGAATAAAGACAACGAGGGATGGTATATATGTCACGCTGAGAACAAGATTGGTCATAATACGAAGAGAACATACTTGAGAGTATTGGACCCAGTTGTTACAGGTAAATACCGTCGTTCACATTAACGTTGTACAGTTGTAAAGATGTAAAGACAACAACAAGTCGATCGCATATATCATATTTGTGTTTTTTAAAAGATCATTTGATTTCGAATTCTAAAACTTTATAATAATGTCTGATAGCATTTATAATAATGTCTGATAGCATTTTTAACTTGCTAGACTGAGTCCATTTTATAAGTCGTAGTTTTCGCTCCTCGGTTTTTCGGTTTGTCGCGAAACTAGCGACTTGAAAGCTGATGATCTGGAGTTTTAAATTGAAATCCTTCGCTGGAATTGAAATAACCTTTTGTGCAAATGATTTTGTTGTTATCATGACCGTATATTGCGGTAAATGCAGTTTCAGAGCGAAGTTTTTGGAACCCTGACGACTAAGCTACAATCTTTTGCAAAATTATGTGAAACACCGTCTATGGTTGTGTTACTACAACCACCCCTCCCCTTTAACAATGTTGTTCGTCAATGAATTGCTGCAAAATCGACAAGGATGAGGAAGGAACATGTGTGCAACCTTGAAGTGGGGAAAGGGGGTAGGGTGTTTATTTTGCATAAGATTGTAGGTATGGTTTAGTGTATAGATGAATGATTTATTTATTTATTTATTTATTTATTTATTGATCAACCACCTAGTGTACAGATCCCACAATCAGTTCCATGTTTTCTTTCAGACGAGCCATCCAGCCCGGTCTCACCACTCCATTCCGAAACCCTCACCATATCTTCCCAATCACCTCAGMAAGTCAGTCAGTCATCTGCGGACGACATTGAAATAGCATTGTACGTAGTGGCCGCCATATTGGGCATCGTRATAATTGGTGGTGTAATATTTTACTTTCTTCGTATGAAAGGAAAGCAAACGCCCAACGTAGAGTACAAACCCGATTCCGAAACTGTCAACATACTATCCAACGGYCAAGTCCCAACTAACAATCCCCCCAGACGAAACCCCTCTGTTTCGTCCTCTGGGTCAGCAGCCGTCTCTTTCCTACGTCAACGGAGTATGCGCAGTCGTTTGGAGTCGAGGCTTACTCAGCTGTCCGAGATTGAAATTGCTTATGACCCGTTATGGGAGATCGAGCGTTCTGATATCTTTTTACAAGGCGCTTTAGGTGAAGGTGCATTTGGTAAAGTCATGAAGGCACAAGTTTTTGGTGGTAAAGTTGCTTCGTCGGGACCTTTGACTGTAGCAGTGAAGATGTTGAAAGGTTTGTTCTAGTTCTTGTTGCTGTTGTTGTTGTTGTTGTGCCGTTGTTGTTGCTTTTGTTGTTGTTACTGCTATTGTTGTTGTTGCTTCTGCTGTTGTTGCTGCCGCTGTTATTGCTGCTGCTGTTGTTGCTGCTGTTGTTGTTGTTGTTGTTGTTGTTGCTGTTGCGGTTGTTGTTTCTGCTGCTGATGTTGTTGTTGTTGTTGTTGTTGTGCTTTGTAATTTTGATTTCTATTGGTTATCATATAGTGAAAAGATAGCAAATAAAACACTGATGCGACACTATTCCAAATCCACAAGAGTTTTTTTACTTACTTAATTCAATGCTTTATTGGTTTCTACAGAAGACGCAACAGAGGTTGAATTTGGTGATCTTATATCTGAAATGGAAGTTATGAAAACGATAGGAAAACACAAGAATATTATTAACCTGATTGGAACTTGTACTCAAAACGGTACGAACACACATCCCTTRCACCCTACTCCGCATTGGTGGATTAGCAATCAAATGTTTGGGTGGTCAAACGCCTTTAAGCTCCATCCAAAATGTTTGATGGTCCATCCAACAACATCTTATATTATCTAAGAAGGGGGTCAAACAATAAAAGTTTGGGTCGCCACTCTTAATGGTGCTCGGTGATCTAGCATTTCTCGTTGACCCTGGAATTCAGTAACAGTTTAATGTTAATGCTTAGAACTACTCCGGGACGAAAAGTATAATTGCTCAAAATCGCTTTCAATTTTGAGTAGTTATAGTGTAGTATTTGCTAAGGCGACTCTGAGTTGCGGGGTTTACTGGAACTTCACCATTCATATTATGATGGTGGAAACTAGCAGTTAACTAGTGTGAGCTGCGTCGGTTTTTCTAAAGAAACAGTTGTGTAAAAAGATAAATTTGACACCGTAAAAAATAGGTGAAACATCTTACTGACATTTCGGACGTCTTTTTACTACGACGAAGGATTCCGACCTAGGTTTAACGTCCGAAACGTCAGTTTCACTCATACATATAATTAACTGTTTAACCATTGTTTTATTTTATTTTATTTTATTTTTTTATTATTATTTTTACATGTATTGTGTTACATACCAGGACCATTATTTGTGGTTGTTGAATATGCCAGTCAAGGCAACTTACGGCAATACCTACGAGATAGACGACCAGTCAGAGAATACGAGGACGCTTTGATGCCACCAGAAACGCTGACCCTGTTAGACTTGATGTCATTTTGCTATCAGATAGCAAAGGGGATGGATTACCTTGCGTCTAGGAAGGTTAGAGGTCTACCCCTATACCTATGCACAGATTCATTTTTACCACATTTGTGTGCTAAGAGTGTGACACTGTACTGTTACCATCACGTCTTGCGGAGTTGAAAGATAGTAATGATTTTCGCAAAACTTTGAACTAAGGCGATGGTAAAAAAAACCCAGATCTATCACGGTGTTTTCGTTGTATATCCTCCGGAAAGTCATAAAATGTCCCAGAATTTGCAGTGGACCCACTGGCTGCACTCGTGGGCGCACATTTRATACGTAATTTGCTAAATAAACGTACGTAATTTGATGTTTGAAGTTGTTGTGCCTCCTGTGTTTCGAATAAGGACGAAAAATGCTCATTTAAAGCGCTTTWTTAATTTMGGTTTCTATCTCTCTTTCTTCTTCCAGTGCATACATCGTGATCTTGCGGCACGAAATATCTTGGTTGCCGACGATAAAGTACTTAAAGTGGCTGACTTTGGTTTAGCGCGGGATGTCCACGAGATGGACTATTACAGAAAAACTACAGACGTAAGCCGACTATTTAATTTAAGGGGGCCRTGCTTAGAATTTGTTAAGGGGGCAAATTAAAACTTGCGGAAGAGCCCATTATAGGGAAAGATGGCTGTGTGTTAACCGCTGAAAATCCTTTTTATTGCTCAGGGGCGTCTACCAGTCAAGTGGATGGCTTTAGAAGCGTTGTACGACCGCGTCTACACTTCACAAAGCGATGTGTGAGTACCATGATTTACAATCAAATATTCACGACTTTCAAAAATAGCGCGATATGTCAAGGTCGCCTCCAGGGCATTGGAGATGAAGCACTTAAAACGAGGTCTCAAAGGCCAGTATAGTTAAGTATGTTAGTTAAGATGGTTTATATAGTTAAGATGGTGTCTTGCAAGAGTGATTTTTTTTATAAGTAACATACCAATACATCTTTCAAACTTTTGGACACTACATACATACGATCTTCGTAGATATTTTGAGATGGAAGGCGTTTGAGGTCTCGTTTCCATGATTGGTCAGTAGCCCTTGATATTGACGCTCGTGAAGTAGTACCGCCATTTTTGAAAGTCGTGTATTTAAGTTTTAACTATATTACTATGTGTTTTRTAGGTGGTCATTTGGAATTACCATATGGGAAATAATAACATTTGGTGAGGATTTGTRAATTATCACTTTTAAATATAATAATATATCAATATTTATTAATATTAATTGATCTTTAGGCGGCACTCCATACCCTGGTGTTCCCTTGGAAAAGCTTTGTATGCTTCTGAAGTCTGGA